ATTAGTTTTATTAATATGTTTTAGAATATTCACAATAATGGAGGAGAAATTTGTTTTATAAAAATATTTTCATACATTTATGTCCCCTCTTCTTTCTGCAGGGAATAGTTATGCTTACCCTGAGCGCCTCCCTGCCCCAACTCCGTCCCCCAAAATGCCCGGAAACCGACCGCTGCCCCTCCCCTTCCCCTTCCCGCCTGGCTCCACTCTACTTCTCCATGGCCCTTCTCATCGCCGGAGCCGCCGGAATCCGCCCCTGCAGCCTCCTCTTCGGCGTCGACCAATTCGACCGCTCCACCAGGCACGGCCGTCAATCCCTCAACAGCTTCTACAACTGGTACTACTTTTCCAGCTGCCTCGCCCTCTTCTTCTCCATGACCTTCCTCGTCTACATCCAGAACTCCATCTCCTGGCCCATCGGCTTCGGCATCCCTGCCGCCCTCATGCTCCTCGCCGTCATCCTCTTCTTCCTCGGCACCCCTCTCTACACCCACGTCGTTCCCCAAGGCAGCATCTTTTCCGGAATAGCTCAAGTCTTTGTCGCCGCTTTCCGCAAGCGCCGCCTTCGCCTCTCCTCCACCGCCCTGCTTCACAATCCTCCCCCGCGCCATGGCCTGATCACGAAGCTCCCCCTGACGCCAAAGTTCAGATTTTTAAACAACGCCGCCATCGAGCTTCCCGGAGAGGTGCGCATTGAGGACGGCTCTTGTGCGCGTCCATGGAGACTCTGCAGCGTGCAGCAGATCGAGGAGGTCAAATGTTTGATAAGCATAACCCCCATTTGGATCTCTGGAGTCCTGTTCTTCACCGTTCTGTCCCAACAGTGGACTTTCATCGTTCTTCAGTCAATGAAAATGGACCGCCACATTGGCCCCCGATTCGCCATCCCGCCGGCAGCGGTAAGCCCATTCAACTTGCTCGCACTCTCCATCTTCCTCCCGATCTACGATCGGATTCTGGTTCCCTTTTTGCGAAGGGTAACGAAGCTGGAACAGGGGATTACTCTGCTCCAGAGACAGGGGACGGGGCTCCTGCTGTCAGTACTGTCGATGGTGTTGGCCGGACTGGTGGAGTGGAGGAGGAGGGAGAGGAAGACGATGATGTCGGTGCTGTGGCTTTCGCCGCAGCTGACGGTGATGGGAGTATCGGAAGCTTTCAATTATGTGGGGCAGATTGAGTTCTATAATCGGGAGTTTCCGGAGCATTTGTTGACCATGGGAGGATCTCTGGTTTTCCTGTGCTTAGCAGGGGCGAGTTATCTGAGTCTGTTTCTGGTTTCGGTGGTGAGGAAGGTGACGGGTGGTGAAGGGAGGAGGAGCTGGCTGGAAGATGATTTGGATCAGGGGAGATTGGATTATTATTATTATCTCATTGCGGTTTTGGGGATGCTGAATTTTCTGTATTTTTTGGTTTGTGCTAAATTCTATCAGTATAAGGGAGCAATGGCGGAGGGTGAGGAAGACGGGGAAGAAGGTGGAGAGGCATAGGAAGCCAGCAGCATTGATTTCATTCCGCAGAAGTGAGTTTATATAAAAATTACATAATAGCACCCAGTTTTTATAAATTTACCGATTTCACATTTAAATTTTCATAATGGTTGTCAAAAAAA